GAAGAAGAAGAAGAAGAAGAAGAAGAAGAAGAAGAAGAAGAAGAAGAGGAGATACCATTTGCAGGGAGAACCTTCATCTAGCTTGTGCCACAATTGTGTCTACCTTTCCCTGATCCAACACTCTTCCTTACTATCTATATAACATATGATAGTTGGAAAGATGCGATAGCTTACTCACTGGATCCCGAAGGAGATGAGAGAAACGCTAACCACCAGCAAGTCCAGGATGTTGAAATAGTTCCTGCAGAAGGAGCCTTTGTGAAGGAAAGCCCCATAAGCAGTCATCTATAGGTAACCAAGATTTTACTGTTAGCAAATGCTATTTTCAGAGCAACCAAAAGGAGGGTAAAGGAGAAAAGCTCTATACATTTTAGCACAAAGTTTCACATGAAGAAGGCAAAGAGGAGTAAATGTATTTTTCAGAAAAGCGCATGCTAGAAAAACTTGCTAGTAGCATCTGATCCAACTAAGGATAGGCTGTTTGCAGCTTGCTGTTTATTGCCTTTCGAATACACTTTTCTTTTTGTTAGCTTTCAATGTGACATTCATTCTAGAATTTTGTAAAATGTACTTTCCCATACGATTATTATTTAAATGGAAACTCTTTTTTTCATAAATCTCCTTTAATGAAAATTAGTCTGGAGATCTCAATAGGAAGGACCTTTTCATAGTGCTACCAGATCCATATTCTTTAAAGTTTTAGAAGTGTCATCATCCTGCTTAATTTCTCAGACCGAATTGAAGATTATATCTCTGCTGCTTTCTTACCAACAGGCATGGTTTTGATCAATACAGTTTAGTCTGCTATTATATTGGTTCTACAACATGAGTGATCTAGGTGTCCATGCAAGAACCTGAGGTTTGATTTTTATTATCAGTGATAACGTTGATATATCTGAATCAACATTTGCAATCACTTATAAAATCTAAATGTACTATTAACTAGATTATAGCAGTTCCTGCATGGATTTTTTTTTTTTACCAGCAAGACTCTCTTCCAAGAAAATAAAAAATTGTGTAATTCAAAATCTTGGGTCTGTTTTTAATGGCTTAGAATATCAAAGAATGCCTTCTCCATATGAACCCTCAAGGACTTCAGTAGTTTTTGTGAAGTGAGGCTGTTAGTGGCTTTGTGAAATGTGTTCCCCAAGGACACACACTTGGCACGTATGTTGCTGCTTTTTTTGACATCAGGCCGAAACATTCCTTTTCCCAGGCATTTCATTATTTTTAGTCCCTTTGATCCTAATGTGCATACATCACACTGGGATAGTATTTTTTTTATATTTTTCCTGTGCCACAATAATAACTTAATTAACTGTTTTGTCTGTTTGCTTTGCATTTATTTAATAGACTAAGACAATACAAATGTCAATCCTGTGATTTGATTTGATTTTGAAATGTTTATAAAATAATTAGGCTTGGCTAATCTAATTAAGTTTCTTTTTGCAGATATACCTAGTTGCTACAAGAAAAGTATTACCTGCACACGGGATTTGAGCATGACTCCTTAAATGTTTCAGACCTGAAAATGTCTTCTAATCAGGATACTTATTTTAATTTTTTATTAAATTTAAAATACTGATTGGAATACGAGGAACAAACAACCATAGTTGCATCTTCAATTCTTGCAGCCAACCCGGAATACACTGCATTAAAATTTTGTAATTTTCTGATAGTCTTTATCTGCTAAAGATGATATATATTTAAGGCTACAGCTTTTGAATCAGAGCAATGAAACCACTGGATTAAAAAAAAATCCACATAAAACTGATTAAAAATTAACATTTAAGATTCTCCATATCACTGAAAGATAAATAAGTCAGTCACAACTGGGGAATGGAGGGTCTTAAAGGCACTGGATATTTTTTACAATAAATTTTGACATGAATGTGTGATGGACAAGAACAGGATACAAAAGAGTAGAAAATGCTGAGTATAAATTAAGAGAAAAATATTTTCTGCTATTTAGAAATACATGTTTAGAGATCATGGGGATTTGCTTTCTAGATATAACACCCAATTATTTACTGAATTGAATAAAGTGATATAGTAAGCCCAGAAGTAATTATATAAAGACTTAATTATATTTTTCCAAAGAAACAAATGTCAAATTTCTAAGAAAAAAAATGGCACCACACAAAACTCAAACGATAGTTTGGTTCCTACATATCTTCGGATCCCCAAGTCAAAATCAAACAAAACACACTAAGCATTAGTGTTGTGTGTACAGTTCATTTTATAAACAAGGCAAAGAGAGCCTGGGTGCATTCTCAATTAACATTACTCATATTAACATGTATTAATAGTTTCAGCTTATGTCCAATCCTTTACAGGAGAAACCTGAAGCAAACTTTAGTTCCAGATGGAAAGAGAGAGTTGGAAAGAGATCTATTTTGCAAGGATTTTCTCTATTTATAGGACATTTTTAAAAAGCATCAAACACAAATTATACTCAGCTCTGATTGAAAATTTCAAGATTAATCAGATTAGCTTTTCTCAGATTGGATATTGTGTAGACAGGCCATTTATGTTCTTGTATTTAACTAAAACAAAGCCTAGATTTTTCTACTCAAATAGTTTATTTTTAAAATGAGAGTTTTCTTAGATGGCCAGGAAGGCTATAATGTTGGTGATGATTTTTTTTCTGGACAATATCTCTTTTTTCTTTTTTGGTGTGAAGGAAAGCTTGTCTTAAATGTAAGCCTTTTTTCCTTTAAAGTATGTATGTAATTGTAATTCTGACCTTAACCTAGATCTTTAATTAACTGTAGAGCAATATTACTTTGTCATAGTTATAAATTTTATATAGGTTGGTGGAAAGGTTAACACTTTACCAAGTAATGTTGAAAGGCATTCTTGGGTGCTCCAATATTAGTAGTAACAATGAATACAGATAGCCCTCAATTTAGGATTACAACTGAACCAAAAATTTCTGTTCTGCCTGTGAATGTTTCAATACACTCTCACGTAGTCTCCTGTATGTACATTTCTCTTGGGAAATCACATAGATATACACAAATCTTCACAATTGGAAGAGGTTTGGAATACCAACAGATGCTACAAGCTTGGACTAAGATGATGTTGTCTTACCCGTGGAGCGATAGCAGGAGTACCCCTTTTCTACTGTCTATAAGGTTTAATGTTCCTCTTAATTTTTTCTAAGAGAAGATTATTGGCAGAAATAAACAGGGAACAAGGCATCATTTGAAGCTTTTGTTTTGTAGCATTTGGGGCACATTGTAGCTCTGTGAAAGTTTAAGGGGAATTGCCCTTAGTGGATATACTATGTGGAATTCAGAACTAGTTATCTGTGCTCTTCGGTATATGAGAGCAAAGTTACAAGATTGAAGGAAATGTGATCTTTTAAACATTGATGCGTTGATATTATGGAAGAACAATACTGAAAGGTGATGTAATCTTCAGTGGCTGTGTTGACAGGTTATCTATCTCATTTTATCTGGCCACAGCTTACTTACTTAACTCAGTTTTCTGGTCTTAGATGTCATGCTGGATTATAAATTTCTCATCCAGGTTAGAATCAACAACACCAAAAGATTAAAAGGTGATGCTGTAAGTTTGGTTTCAGTATGTCGGAAGAAACTCAATCAGGGGTTTCCTTTCTAGACTTTCTTCTGGTTAGTCTCCAACATTTTAAACAATCTAAAATTACCAAAGTGGCATAATTTATCAACCAGTTACCATGGCCTGATAGGGATTTAATAATTTCCTCCACCTTTTCATTTTTTGCAGTTTCGAGGTGGCTAATGTGTGCTCCTATTTCAATAGATGTATGCTGCATTGGCTATTTCAGCCACTGTAATTTAACATAGTAGGCCACATTTAATATAATTCCATTTTTGACAAGTGTATTGAGGGAGTTTTTGATTCATTTGTATTTGCTCACACTAGCAAATTGCTAGGAATTCCTGGTCTATTTGGTGGAAATTCCACTCCCTAAAGTCAATTTAGCACAAGACATAAAAAAGAAATTGTACTCTAAATAGTCTGACTTATGTCAGACCCCATGTTGCCTGAGTTCATAATGACAAGTTATAATGTGGGTTTTTAAAATTTTGTTTTGTTCTGTTTTAGGTTAAGAGTGATATAAGGATATTAGGAGAGCTTATCACAAAGAGTCCTTTTTTGTGTGGTACGTGGTTATTGCTTCCTGAAATGAAAACATGTAGTGTTCCAGGCCATTTATTGTTCCCTGAGCTTCCTGGATAATTTGGTTGCTATATACCAAGCACTAACAGGTGTACTAACAAATGAGACTGTAGTATTTACAATGGATTAGTTTCTAAAACATGCACAATCACAACTGAGCGACAAAGGACACCTATCTACAGAGAAAACACTTCCGATTTAAAGCAGTAGAAAATGACAAAGCAGAAAGCAAGAGGGAGCACAGAAGGCTCACATTGGTTACCTTAAGAATAATTTCTAATGTAAAGATACTAGTGAAGACATAATCTGCATTGCCTAGGATCTGAAAAATAAGCACAGTTGGGTTAGTGATCACTGAGCATGGCCAAAACACAAACAGGAGTGTGGGTTAGCAACAGAGAGCAGCAGAAAATTAGTGGGCTTACAAGTGAGAAGCTAATGGAAGAGGAGATGGGACTTTACCTTCAGGGCAATTTCAATGGTGAAAATGACAGTAAAAAATATATCAAAATAAAAGAGAACCTGTAAAACAAAAGGGAAGGGGTGCAGGGAGAAGGAAGGTATGTGAGTGAATGCTGTAAAACTAAATTACAATATCAAGTCAAAATGAATAGCTACGTTAAGGAGCTGAGTTGGTGAGTGACTGCAACTTTTTAATGAAAGCAACAATCAACCTAAAAGCAAGAAATGTAAATAAGTTTTCTTTGTTCATTATTTTGTCACATCTGCTTTCATGAGAAAGCAAAGTACTATTTCTGTCAAACAGTATTTTGTAAATTAAACTCCTGGCCAGAAAATTTAAATTTAAAATGTATGCTTCCTCCCTCCCTCCCCAAGAACTATTATATGTATGTAACTCTGTTTTATTATCAAGGGAAACAAAGTCAATTTTGAAAGCCAAGTTGCCTAAGACTTATTGGATGATCCTATACTGTTATAAAGCTACACCTTGAGTTTTTGTTTTTGTTTTAAGTGGTCCTAACTATTAGCTATCATTCAAATCAGTGAGACTTACTCTGGGGTTACCATAATTAAGATTAGGCTGCAAAGTAGTTCCATCCAATCCTCAAATAGGGATAGATTTGATTGTATGTAAACAAAATGCCAAAGTAGATCTGAGTTAGATTTGTTCCCTGAATGTTGTTCATTATAATGTCAAATATACAACATTCTGTTCCTTTTAACTTTATAGTTAGTCTGATTAAACTTCACAGGTTTAATGTCTCTGAGGGAAGAACAGAAACTCATCATTTCACAAAGAAAAGCTGATTGGATGGAACATATTTAAAGATATGTGAAGTTGTTAAACAATGCCGGAAGAAAGAGGTTTTCACCCAATTGAGTTTTCTTCCTCACTTTTAAGCTTTATCAACAAAATTCTATGCCAGCATAATTAAACATGACCGGATTAATGCTCAGTTTAGCTTAGCACAATGTAGTTTTTGAGCTATTTTGTTGAGTTCACAACAATAGTTCTTAATTACTTTATTTTAAAAAGATTGGAAGTGGCTCTATTTTTGAGAATTCAATAAATGGATGGTAAATAACAAATTAAATAGCTGGACAATATAATTTTACATCATTACAAAAATTAAACAATACAGGTCAAGACCCTGCAGTTTCAATTACTCATATGTAATGCCTATGAATTTAGAAACACTTCAAGACAACAGTAAAAAAAGCCTGAAACAATATATGATCATACAAAATTTGCAGCTGCTTCTCTTCCTGGAATGGGATGTTACAGGTGCTTAGGGGGCTCTCTTGAACTGAAAATAATTTAAAGGATATGTCTAGTGCATAAAAAAAATGTGTGTTGAACAGAAATTATTATAAAACATCCACAAAAACCAAATCTCACTTGCTGACTGATAACCAGATGATTATTCGGTTTTAAAACATATTAAAATCAAAATAAATCCCCATTTGATGAAAAGAGAATGTTTGAAGAACTGGCCACACTGTTGAACAATTTGGAAAATATCACATTGGAGTATAGATTTGATAAGAATATTAAAGAAATCTTACCCAAAATCTGCTATGGAATCTACTTCATGTATATAGCAGGAAAAGCCTGCATAATTGAATAATCTTTCCCCTCGTGTGCTCATTTTCCAGCATATCAATATTAATGAATCAATTAATTTGTATGTGTATGTATAGGAATCATCCATCACGTACATTTTAACCTGCTGATACCACTTTGCAGAGACGGTATAATTCAATATTCTGGTAGTAGGAATGAACAAAGCCTTATATATTGGGAAGTTAAGAGAATTTGGACTAGAGCCAAATTCTGCATTTTGAGTCTTCCTATGCTAATACCGAGCACAGGTGTTTTCTTCAGAGCTCTGATTGACTATTGATGGATGCATAGAACTTTCCAGCTTCCCATTAATTTTAGTGTAGAGATCAGCTGCCTTACTAATATTTCTGGACACTTTTACATAGCATCAAAGTATTGGTAGCTTTTTAATTTACAAACCTGTTTCAACTGACAAAATAACTAAACTGTTAAATTGCAACTGCAACTGTTAAATGTTATGATTCTTTAGAGCAGTGTTTCTCAACCTCAGCCACTTTAAGATGTGTGGACTTAAGTCCCAGCAGTCCCCAGCCAGCCTGAAGAAACACAGCTTTGGGGGAGTATTTTTCCAGAGGAGTAAAAATTGAAATTATGCTTAAAAGTGGGAGAAATCTTGCCCCTTGTTTTTATGCATGTTTCTTCCGTAAATTCAGTCCCACTGAGTTCAATTACATTTACTCTGAAGTAAATGGAAATAGAATTGCAGCCTTAAATGCTCATAATTATCAGGTTATTTTATGTATGATTACACCTGTAGTTTCTGCTGTATAAATATTGAGAATTATTAGCCTATTAAATTATATTTTTGTCATGTGATTCAAAATACCTTGATAATGCAGCATAGTTTTGCTTTTACAATGCATTCAGATGACACATAACACAGATTTCTTGTTGTTACAGTGAATATCATTTTGTATCACTTGTATGCTTACGATTTATATTGACTGTTTCCTAGTATGATTTGATTGTTGATTGTACCCTAGGACTATCATTAAGTGTTGTACGTTATGATTCTTGATTCTTAATGAATGTATCTTTTCTTTATGTATACTGAGAGTATTTACACCAAGACAAATTCCTTGTGTGTCCAATCACACTTGGCCAATAAAGTATTCTATTCTAAGAGAATCATCAGTAGGTAATTTCCCTGGATTTTCCTTTCTGTAAACAGACTGGGTGAAATTTGCCCTTTTCTGGTTGGTCTATTAAATTAAGTGCTGGGTGTTTCTGAAAAAGGAACAGTATAAAAACCAGCAAGGGGGTTGGAAATATTGATGATTTCTTGTTATCTAAATTGATACTTTTGAAAATATTTCCACATGAATTTCTTCTTTCATTTTCAACAGAGTTCAAACTCTGAAACAAAGATTTTTGTATAAATGCCTCTGAAAGTGCCAGATATAACAGAACTGAATACACTGCCCACTTACAACTCTTCATACCCCAAATATAATAAAATAACAACTCTCTCAAAGCGAGCTGGATTACTAGACTTTGTGGTGGCTTGCCCTTGCCTCCTGGTGTATATTTTTGACTATATAAAGTCTTGATTATCTCTCATCCAAGTATGAACTTAGTCTGGCCTTGCATAGATTTTGAAATCAGTCGAACCTGTTGCCAACTGCTATGGCTCTAGAATGTTTTATCTTCCTTTAAAAAGAAAACATGTTTTTGGGATGCATGGCTGAGAATGGGGACAATGGTTTAGATCAGTATTTCCCAAATGTAGCAACTTTAAGATGTGTAGACTTCAACTCCCAGAATTTCCAGCCAGGGAACTGATGTCCATATATCTTCAAATTCATAAGATTGAGAAACACAATTTAGATAACATCAGTTCAAGAGCACCTATATTAAATCACTTATATTAAATCAAATCTGAATGGAGTATCATATATTTAACATACAGGATGCCCCAGTCCTTGCCATTTCCAAATCTGGCTGTAAAAACATTTGCTTGACAATTTACAGAGTGAAATTTTGAGGTTAAAAACACTGATGACCTGTTTTAGTACAGGAAAGCTTCCCAAGGAAGGACTGAAAATAATTTGCAATGTAATCATACATAAATCTACTTGAAGTTAATTTCACTGATTTCAGTGAGAGTTACTCCTGGTAGGTATGTTTAAGTAGCAGCTGTAAGGGCCATTCTTCTCTCAAGGGATCCATTGCAATAGTTTTATTGGAAGGGTAATGGATCCTTAAAAGTTGTTTTTTCCTAGAAAGCCCATTTTACTGATGTCATTTGTTTATTTATATACATTTGACCATATAAACTTTGCTGAAGTAAAAAACTCACATAAATGTAGCAACTCAACCGCTTAATTTAATATGTGTTCTAGATTAATTTACACAAAATTATACATGTGTGTTATAAGGTAGTCCTCGACTTACAACCATAATTGACCCCAAAATTTCTGTTTGCTAAGTGAGACGTTTGTGAATTTTATCTCATTTTATGACCTGTCTTGCCACAGTTGTTAAGTGAAGTATTGCAGTTGTTAAGTAACACAGTTCCCCATTGACTTTGCATGTCAGAAGGTCACAAAAAGTGATCACATGATCCCAGATTACTGCAACTGTTGTAAATATGAGTCAGTAGCCAAGCATTTGAATTCTCATCACATGACCATGGGGATGTGCAATGGTTGTTAGTGTGAAAAATGACCATGAGTCACTTTTTTCAGTGCCATTGTAACTTTGAACTGTCACTAAATGGAATAGAATAGAATAACAGAGTTGGAAGAGACCTTGGAGGTCTTCTAGTCCAACCCCCTGCTTAGGCAGGAAACCCTACACCACCATTTCAGACAAATGGTTATCCAACATCTTTTTAAAAACTTCCGGTGTTGGAGCATTCACAACTTCTGGAGGCAAGTTGTTCCATTGATTAATTGTTCTAACTGTCAGGAAATTCCTCCTTACGTCTAGGTTGCTTCTCTCCTTGATTAGTTTCCACCCATTGCTTCTTGTCCTGCCCTCAGGTGCTTTGGAGAATAGCTTGACTCCCTCTTCTTTGTGGCAGCCCCTGAAATATCAGAACACTGCTATCATGTTACCCCTAGTCCTTCTTTTCATCAAACTAGACTTACTCAATTCCAGCAACCATTCTTCATATATTTTAGCCTCCAGTCCCCTAATCAACTTTGTTGCTCTTCTCTGTACTCTTTCTAGAGTCTCAATATCTTTTTTTACAAACTGAATGCAGCATTCCAGTGAACGGTTGTTAGTCGAGGACTACCTGTACTGACTGGGTAGCTCTTTCTGTTTAGGCACTAATTTAGATCATGAGAACTTTGTAAGCATTACGGTAGTCATCTGGCTTCTGAACCTCCTTCTGAATAATCTGCAGGGAAGTGAAAAAGTGGAAAGCGTACTTGATTTCTAACTGAGTAATGACGAACTGGGTCCTCAGCTGCCAGAGAGATGCTGCTGAGCAAGATGAAAAAGAGGATCAGGTTGGTGAAAATGTTATTATTAACGATGCGATGGCAGTGGACCCGAAATCTGAAAAGAGAGCGGGGGGAGGGAGAGAGAGAGAGACAGCCTTATTCATCAGATATTACAGAGATCAATGTTTTATCTCAACCCCTCGATTTCTTAAGCTTATTTGTAGGCCAGATGCCCACCGAAACAGAACATTTGACCACATAAATCTTCATCAATAATCTGAGGTAAAACAGCCCACTCACAAATTTGCCCCCTCACTGAAAGTATCAGGAAGATGGATTCCTACTCATGACTTTCAACCTTCGGCCGGGGGGGGGGGGGGGGGGGGGGGGGGAGATGAAATAACAATTGCGACTTATGATAGCCGTGATTTTAAACATATTTTGGCATTGTAAATCTGAGCGGAGGGACTTTGTGACTGAACTCACCTAAGCCACAAGGGTGTCTAAATGAAGATCCAAGTAAAATGATTCAAGTAAATCAATGCGGTTATTTTTTTAAAAAAGAAGATGAAACTGTTATGGGGTTGAGAAGGGGGAGAATACTGTACTGCTTTTTTCAATAGGGTGAGGAGTTTTGTAATTCCCTATGTCGAGATAGTCAGTTAAGACAATAGCCTTAAGATTTTGTTGTGAATGAATGTGGAATTATTACTGGAAAAACATTTACATTTTGCTTCTAATCCTTCCCTCTCTTATTTCTACTCTTCTCATATCTGTATCAAACCATTCTGCTGAAGATACAAAGATTTTATGTCTTGGAGACATGGTTGCCCTTTCCTAAAGCCCCAACCATTTATGTCATCACGGCCAATTGGGCTTTCATGGCAGCAAGCAGGCCTTTGGGCTAGATTAAGAGCAGAGCTCTTATTCATCCACCCCTGATATAAACCAAGGAGCTTTTTTTCCCGCACAGAGCAATTCTATCTTGAGATACAGATTGTTTTTCTTTTCCATTTTCATCTAGAATTTGTCTCTCATAACGTTCTTAGAGATCAGTGACAATAGTATACATTTTCCTATATCATAGAATTATCCACTCTGTAGACTTACATTGAACTAGATAGATTACAAAGCATACAACTTCCCACCCTTTCTTAAAAGCATGTTATCGGGACTGTTTTCATGGTGGCACAAGTTCATATAAAAACAACATACTTGTTGCTAGGACTGAAAATGAAAAAAGCAGTGGCTTCCGGCATTGGCACCGCTTTCTCCTTAAGATGTAGTTCAGACATAGGCCGAGGGCGAGGCCCAACAGGCATCTCCGGTTCTTCTTCGTCCTCTTCTCCTAAAAGGTAAAGGTCTTCATTTTTAGAATTATTCATCATAAATAGCCTATTGGTTTACCTCATAAAGGCATATCTGATTCTATCTTGGTCTTAAAAAATTTAAAGTATTCCAACCTATCCCAAATTGAGGCCCACTGGTAACATATCTACTTGTATAACTCAAGTACCACTCCAGCATTGTGGCCAGCATGAACCATGTTGGCTAGATGTCATGGAGATTCTCAATCCCAAAGGTGCTTTTCAAAAGGCAACTGGGCTTTCTTGATTTTTGCCTTGAAAACATTTCACATCTCATCCAAGAAACTTATTCAGGTTTCAGAACTGAAAAGGGTGAAAAGTGAAATGTTTTCAAGGGAAAAACCAAGAAAGTCCAGTTTTGCCTTTTGAAAAGCATCTTCAGGCCATGTTAGCTAGGAATACTGGAAGTTGAAGAGGGTCAAGGAAGACTGATTTGTTCTCCATCTTAGGCTAATCTGAAATTCTTCTGCCAAAATTATATTATCTCATAATTTGAGAGGTCGGAGAAGGCTATGTTTCAACCTTGATAGAATGAAAGATCCTAACTTCTGTGTTTAAGATTGGAGTCTGAGGGACTATGTACCTCTATCTATGTATACTTGAACAACTGTGTAACTCCTAGCAGAAAGGGAGCCTTTGATGCAAAAATCAAACCCGATCCAAAACCTTGGCAATTCTTTGTATGTGGAAATTAATTTCAGACCAAGAAGATAGCGACAGAGACCAGTGCAGAGCCCTTATTCAAAAGAATGAAGATCTTTCCTGGAGTCTCCAAACAGCTGCAAGGCTAAGTAAATCTTACCAGACTATTGGGCTTACTGTATAGTCTCATATCTATTCATAGGGTTCCAAACAATGCAAATACACACCCACACCCATAATTAAATGCAACTTCTACACTTATTTATTTCTAAAATTCAGTTAATCAACTCAATTATTTCTCATAACAGCTAATGTAACAGTCACTGTAGACTGCAAATGTTACATAAATCAATCATTAGTTGAAATATTTAATTCAAAATCAAGCATTTCTGATAAGCAGACTTGTTTTTTAAAATGTCAAACTTCAACCAACAAGGGAACTTTTTAACATTGTGAATGGGGAGAACATATTCCAGAAGTTGGGATACAAATAATTAATCATTCAAAATTAAACCTGCCAATCTCAGGCACAGAGTGGCAAAGCTAGGGAACTGAGCAATCAATCAGGAACAAGAAGAGAGGCAACATTTCTCTCCCGTTCCATCCTGGCTTTTGTTTAAGCAAAAAATGTGCCCCGGCCTGGAAAGTGGTTGAAGAAGTACAGTACAAGGAATTAGACCTCTAGGGAAAAAAAACACCTAAGTACTGTAGTTGTAAATTAGAATATTTTTAAAAAAAGTTTTTTCCATGGACTTGTTGAATGCAAAAGTATACTTTTTACTCCTATTTTCAAATCTGTGTGAGCAACCACCTATATCTGCTTCTGAAATTCATGCAGGTAGTTCTTGAGTTACAATGGTACATTTAACAATGGTTCAAAGTTACGATAGCCTCAAAATAATAATAATTATGACTTGTCATTGAAGGTACAACTATTGTATCACCCTTACAATCATGTGATTGCAATTCAGGCCCTAGGCAACAATCTTTGTAAATTACAATTACATCTACAAAGAGTACAGCATCTTGCAGTGATATAACCAGGAGACCGAGCAGTTACATGTGTTTCCGTAAAGCACATGTTACACCTTTGCTGCAAGAGTTGCATTGGTTACCAGTTTGACCTAGTAGTTAAGGCATCAGGTAAGAAGTGGGCCACTGAGTTCAAGTTCTGCCTTAGCCATGAAAGTCAGCTGGGTGATTAGGGCCAGTTATTTTTCTCAGCTGAGCCTACCTCATGGGGCTGTTGGTGTGGGGAAAACGGGAGGAAGAAGTTGTGTTAGATATGTTCATTACCTGGAGTTGTTGTAAAAATAGTAAAGGCAGGATTAAAAACAAAGAAACAAATAGCAATTGTGTAATGGATTCTGGGAATTTTATATTTTTATATTTGTATAAATTAATGCATACAAGTAAAATTACCTAGAAAGCTTTTAGACATATTAGCCACCATTTTTCCCCCAACACTTCAATATCCACATCCATATCTATCTATCTATCTATCTATCTATCTATCTATCTATCTATCTAT